CTGACCTTCAGAGGTGGCAACAGTGAACTCTCTCTGTCCCACAACTCCCCCTACCTTGTTGTATAGGAAGACTCCCAGGATGGCCGTCATCATGCCCAGCACATTGGTGGTGGTGACAGGGTTACGAAGCATGATCAGGGAAACGGTGATGACGGTGATCCTTTTGGTTGCATTGGCGACAGAGTAGCTCAATGGACTGATGAGGTTCAGAATGCTGAAGGCAATCACGTTCTGGGCAAAGTTGCAGAAGCCACTGACCGCCAGGAGGAGGATGGTCCAGGGCCAGTGGGCCATTGAACTCTGTGGGGGGAAGTGGGCGATGAAGGAGCAGCAGAAGCAGTACCTGCCCTGAACAACACACCTTTCTTGCCTAACTTAGGGAGTGAAGGAAGGGGAGGGCCTAGTTGGTGCTTGGATGGAAGATCCTAAGGAGGGACCTTCAGGCAGGACTAGGGAAAAGGGTCCTGCCAAAGAGAAACCTGGGAGCGAGCCATGGCTGCAGCCCGTCAGAGTTGGTAACACTGGGTGAGGTGATACCCCTCCCTCCTGAACCCAAGAGTAGTTTCCTATGCATGAGGAAGAGCAGCTTCCTCTGCTCCATCCCCAACAGTATCTCCAAGCAGGGCTGGGGAGGAACAGGATCCCTGGAAGCAGCCATGGCTGCCAGCTGGCAATACTCAGCTAAATTGGACAGAGACACCAGGCTTGACTCAGTCTACAAGAAGCTTTTTGGGTTACTACCAGGAAAAGCAGCCAAAGCCCAGATGAAGGCCTCCAGCATGGAATCCCATCCTACCCAGATGGGCCCTGATCTCACTGGGGGACCAATCATTGCATGCGTGAGAGGGAGATTCCTCTGGAGTCTTCAAAGGGCTTAAACAGTATTGTTTGGCATTAGTTTGAAACAAGTTAAATTGCTTATGGTAATGTAATGTAATGTAATGATTTCTGTTATTTAGTATATTGTTTATTATTCGTAAACATACACTTGGATCCCATGCTCCCAATACTTAATGGTAGCAGAAACAAATTTTAAAAAATATTCTCAGAAAGGAACAAGCTTGCTTTTCCTTTTTTTTTTTTGAAGGACAGTCTTCCTCTCTCCTTGGTTGCCCTCCCTGCCTGCTGCCATCCCAATTCCCACTTCTTCTTGCTCCCCTAATGCTGACAAGGAAGCCTGATCCCCCAATTTTGAGAAGCTGGAGGAGAGCAAAAGCACCCCCTCTCACCACGGAGCTTCTCCCAGACCTACCAAGTCATTTTCTACGAGGAACGAAGAGAGATCCACCAGGACCCAGGTCGGGATCATGAAGAAGATGGCATGGCAGCCAAGGATGTTCAGGAGCCGGAGGTGGTGAATGCGTGAATCTCTCAAGACCTGAAAGAATGGAGGTTTCAGAAAGGACTGCACCTTCAAGGAGCCTCTGCTCTTGGTTTCCTTCCCACTAGTTTAAAGGCTGCCCAGACCCTGACCCTCAAATAAGAAATACTTCTCTCTGGTGTCCAGAGAAAATGGGCAGAACAGGACAGATGAACCCACAAGAGCCATGCAAAATATCCTGCAATGACTGGGAAACAGTAGGACTGATAAGTCTACAGTTAGAAAAGTGCATTTACAAAGAAAAACAATCCTTGGCAATCTCCCACCTAAGGACAAACCAAGGTTGACCTGCTTAGTTTCCAAGATCAGATGGGACCTAGTGTCTCCAAGGACCAGGAGTAAGAAATAATGAAAGAGGCAACTTCTAATTTCTTATTATTTAATTTATATCCTGTTGGAAGAATTATAGGCTATAAATTAAACAGTAAGAAGTAAGAATCTGACTCTTTTTTTTCCTTCCTTCCTTCTCTCCCTCTTTCTCCTTTGTCCAACTCCCTTCTCCTCAGCGCTTCTGATATAATCCCCACCACCATCATGCTCAGATGACTCAGGATCCCACTTTTCTTCTACATCGAGTGTACCTTGGCTTATCTGAATGGACAGCAGCAAACTTGGGAGAGCAAAGACCAAACTTTAAAACCTTGGCCTGGACTTCTGTCGTAACCCCACAGAGAAATACTCCTGCAAGCACACAGCAGGAGTGGGTAACTGGAGGTACCCATATGGATGCACCTTCTTAGAGAAGATATTTTGGAGTGAGAAACAGAGCGTTGCTGCCAGAGCACTGATGAGCCCCCATGTGTCGAAGGAAAGCTCTGTGACTGTCGCCAGCAGGACTCCGCCGATGATGGGGACGAGGGATAAATACACCTGAGGCAGGAGAAAGAAAGCGGGACTGATGGCAGGCAGCTTCCCAAGTCTTGGGGGGGGGGGAGGAGACAGGTCTGCCTAAGCCTCATAAACATCTTCCCTGATCCCACCACCCCCATATGAAGAGGGCTGCTTTCATGCAACTCTCTCAACAGCAGCAGCATAGATGCGGGCAAGAGAAACCGAATTTCTTTCTCCTCTTGATCCTCTTACCTTGGTCGTCTGCTTTTCCTTCATGATGATTCTGGACAGCAGAACCACCCAGATTGGCATGGTTGCCTTCACTGGAAAGAGAACAGGTGGAGGATTAGAAAAGGAAACCTGTGCAGCAAAGTGAAAGTGACTACCAGACACCTCTGCAAAAGGCCCCAGCCTTTGCTCAGAGCAATTCTTCCCTGCCCTGATGAGCAGCCACAGCAAGCTCCTAACACGGAGCCTTAACTGAGGGCAATGCAGGCCTCCTTCCCCTACTCCTCTTTCCTCTGGGCTTTGTTTCAGAATCCCTCCCAGATAGATCTGCCTTGAGTGTTGCTCCCCAAGAGAAAGAAGAGCCCAGAATACTCAGAGGGTTATTAACATACAAGAAAAGTCCAATAAGGAGCTTGAGAGCTGTAGATGGCAATGTGTTCTGTTTTTTTATCTTCACAGGAACCTTGCAAGGTAGAAAGGAGGGCCCTGCAAGATTCTTCTGGCATTCTTGTCTGAGCTAGAGCTAAGAAAGATTGTGTTGCAAGTAATATAACTGATGGTCTTACTTAGTTAAGGTTAAATGAAAGTGCAAGTGTTTCCTTTGGACAAAAACCTAGCCATTGGTAACAGCATGGAGCAAGTAGCACTCACTCATTACTTTCTCGCATCATGGCAGGGGTGTGTGAGTGTATTAAAGAGGATTTTTTAAAAAAAAAAATAGTCAATTTCCCTACTTTTTAGAAGACAGATTCTCTTTTCCAGGAAGGAACAGTAACTCAAAGGAAAAATGAGTAGCATAAGTAACACAAGAAATGTTGTTGTTAGCTGCCCTTGTGTCATCCTCAACTCACTGTGACCTTGTGGATGAGACACCTCCAAGACTCCTTGTCCTCTGCTGCTCTGCTCAGATTTTGTGAATTCAGGACTATGACCTAGGCCTAGGTCTCCCTCTCTTCCTATTTCCCTCCATCTTTCCTAGCATTATTGCCTTTTCTGATGACTCATAGTGTGACCAAAGTACAACAGCCTCAGCTTTGTCATCTCGGTTTCCAGGGAGATTTCAGCCTTGATCTGCTCTAGGAACCATTTGTTTGTCTTCTTAGCAGTCCTCAGCATTCTCCTCTAGCACCACTTCTTGAATAAATTTTCTTTCCATCAGCTTTTTTCACTGTCCAGCTCTCACATCCACCCAAAGTGATGTGAAATACAATGACTTGGATCATCCTAACTTTAGTATTCAATTGTGTATCTGCATTTTAGGATATTGTCCAGTTCCTTAATAGGTGCCCTCCCCATTCCTAGTCTTCTTTTATTTGACTGTAGTCCCCATTCTGAAGATGAAAGTTTGACCCAAGGAGCGGGAACTCTTTTACCGATGGGGAAAACAATGGTTTGCACGATTCTAACTTTAGTGCTCATTTGTATAGAATCATAAAGAGTCGGAAGATACCCCCAGGGCCATCCAGTCCTACCCCCCTTCTACCATGCAAGAACTCACAATCAAAGCACCTTCGACAGATGACCACCCAGCCTCTGTTTAAAAGCCTTCAAAGAAGGAGACTCTATGACCCTCTGAGGGAGTATGTTCCACTGTCGAGATCAGATAATTAAAAAAAGCTACGATCAAGTATATCTTTCCACTGTAGGCTCTTGCCCAGTTCTTTTATGGCTAGTCTTAAGAAGCATTACGGGGGGGGGGGGG